CCCCCCCCCCCCTGTAGGTTCGGGGGATGATGTGAACAACACTCCCTCCGTGCAGCCTGCGAGAACGGAGATACCAAACTCTGAACCAAATTCCTTGACCAGGCACGGAGCAACGTCTTCGTGGAAAACCTGGTGACGTTTCTCTATGTCTCCTCCTTCTTTCGGGGAGGGTGTTTGTGTACGTGACGACTCTAGCCTGGCGACGCTTGCAGGTCCTGCTTATATGCCTGATTACCCCCATCCCGCCATCACCCACCACACTGACGGGCGTAATCTTCAGAAAGCGAATGGATGCCGAAAAAGGCTTACTAAGCGTAAGATAGATAGATGGGGCCCTTCACGGGGCCAATCACCCGAAGGGGCTCGGGACGGGGCGAGATGCAAACCACAAGCGCAACGGCAACAGTAGTAGCTAAATAGCTCAGAGTAAATGAGGTACGCGTAGCGCGAGTGGCCATCACGGTGTTGAATTGAAGTATTGGAGCCGAGGACTATTCCAAGGAAAAGGTGTTCGGCGGCAGGACGACCTTAATTGTCACCGCAGGTTCTCCCTTCTTGTTTGCACGAGGTAGGTTGCTGTAGAATAATACCATTTACCCAGGCATCAGATGTGCCCCCTAGTTTTCGCGTTTTTTTCGTTCTGGCCTCGACTTGTTGACGACCAGATTTTCTCGAGCGGTGGCGCATTGTATGCCTCCCTGTTTGTTTTGCTGCCGTGCTCGTGCGTGTTGTTCCTCGGCCTCCGCTTGTTGAAAAATATCGGCAAGTGGCAAGACTTTTTGGTCCGCTAACGTGCTGCTGTCCATCCCGTGACACATTCTGCGATCAGGACACCCCCGCCCAAGCGCGGTCTTCGAATATGGGGGCCGACCTGGGGCAGGTAGAGTACGTCTTCAGCGATAAGACTGGGACGCTGACGCAAAACCTCATGAAGTTCAAGCGCTGCAGTGTGGGCGGGGTGATATACGGGGAGCTGGACCAGCAGTCCAAGGACCTGATGACCCCGCAGCAGCTGTCGGTGAGTGCGTTGCTGAAAAGGCGTCGGTTCTGTTGTTTATCGGCACACGTGTGTCAGGTTCCATGAAGCTTGTGTAGGTTTGATAGTCTTTTGTGTGGCTTAGTAGGTCTTGTGTCTTGGTGTGTGTGACGTCGCCCGTTGTTTGTTCGTGTTTCGTATTTTGAAGTACAGTATTGTAGGTCGTTTTGTGGGTTGTGTTCTTCGGAGGAAACTCTGGACCCAGAAAAAAAACAAGTTAACAGCCTATCCATGCCACTGTTTACCCCCTCCTGTGTCACCCTGGATGGTTGTAGTTGTAGTTGTACGAAAATACACTGAAAAGTGCAGTACTCTATTACACTAAGAAGCTGGTACACACGTGTCACCTCGAAAAATGGGGGTACTGTCGCCACAACAAAAAACAGGACGAAAAAAAAACTTCCGTTGCGAAGAACCCAACTCCCTGTGCGTCAGCCCTCTACATGCATTATTTTCCGATGTCTCATAACACCCGGATTGCCCGAGCCCGTGTTGTGTCTGTGTTTTGTCGACGATCGCCGTGAACCGCGCACCCTCCAAACTTCACCCCCCCCCCCCCCCCCCCCCCCCCCCCCCCCCCCCCCCCCCCCCCCCCC